ATGTCCTTGTCCATAGCGGCAAACGCCTCCAAGATGGCAGCCTTCAGAGAGTCGACCGTGTTGTGGGTTTGCTTGTTAGTATTGGCTTCGATCACGCCCCAGAAGAAATAGTCAAGGGGGTTGCAGTCAGGTGAGGAGGCCGGTCATAAGTCTGGCAACCAGTGTTGAGGAATACTGTTGAGCAACCACGCCTGGGTCGTCTTGGCATTGTGTGCAGGAGCGAAGTCCTGCTGGAAGACGTACGGGCGTCCGTGGCGATCTTGTCCATCCAGAGCTTCCCTATGCTCTTTAAAACCTCCTGGTAGATATCAGCGGTGACTCTCAGGCCCTTTTGAAAGAAGAACGAAGGCATGACGACCCCCTCGCTGCACACAAGGCCAAGACGATCCAGGCGTGGCTGCTCAACCACTGGTCTCTGGATTTGTGGCCACACTCCTCACCTGACTGCAACCCCCTTGACTATTTCTTCTGGGGCGTGATCGAGGCCAAGACCAACAAGCACGCCCACAACACGCCGTTATGGATATGGTCGCCAAAGCGTGCGATTCATTTCGCGCTCGCCTTGAGATGGTCGTCACCGCCGGCGGCGATTAAATTGAAAAAATAATGTAGTATGTAACTCTAACTGTTGCTAAATAAACTGTCGGGTCTTTGCATATAGAACTTTTGTCTTTATTGCCCATTTCGTTTTCTTTTAGTCAAATGTCAGATTTTGCTGCAGCACCCTGTAGTTAGCGCAACAAAAGGAAAGAAATCGTGGAGAGCTATGATCTCTGGCGCATGAAAAAGAAACGGTTTTTATTGTTCATATACAAGTGAATATATTTTATTTCTTTAGCCAAGATGATAAAACATGTTTTACGTCTCATGATAAACATTTCTGCAACGGCCGCGTAAAATAAATTCCTGACTTATTTGATATATCACTTGTTCATTATTTGCATTATTCGGACTATTGTGAGCATTGTTATTATGAGCCCCTTCAGAAATTAGGCGATCACGGTCCTCTACATCTTCCTATCCCTTGTAACTCTTAAAATTAATCAATTTTGTCTTTTTGTTATTTCTCCCAAACCCTCAGTATATTTCTGAGATGAGGTATTATGTACATTATTTACATTATTCGGACTATTGTCCTCATCTTTGTCGCCATATTTATTACAATGTTTCAGCCGTTGTACGCTCCGGCCTTCTTCAGGTGGTTGGAATGTCGAACTGAACCCTTTATTTCGCTCACCGGTGTAGACTGTTCTAGTTCCACGTGCCGTGTCTCATGGATGTCAGTTATCAGTTATCTCCTGTTAATTCCCCTCTCCAAGTTCTTCACTGCCTTAACCATGTATTGAACTCACTCTCTTTGGGTCCTGTCACTGGACCTAACTAACGCCTTTATCTACTGTGTCATGTGTCCTTGAGACATCTGTGTATGAATTTCTGAGTATTATAAACCTAATGTCTCAGCAACCATTTTTACCAGTGCTCATATTGCAATTTTTTGCTGTTATTATTTCATGTTTTTACCAGAGCTCATATTGCAATGTTTGTTGTCGTTATCGCTTTTCTCTGGTACTCCTTATTACTGGTTCCCATATTGTATTCATTTTTATGCTTGGTCGGCTCAGGAGATTTTTGTGGCCTAGCATATGTGCTGATTCTTTAAGTTTCCAACATTGGAAGATTCGTAAACTTAAAAATAACTTTCTCAAATAAACTGTTATCGCTCTTTCCAGTATTAAAAGGAACTTTCTTCCTAACTTTTATTTCTAGTGGTGTGGAATATTAACATCTTGATTATGTTATTTTTTTTTATTCGAGTTACATGTGATATCCATTGTAATTGTTTCTGCTGTTGAAAATCCTCAAGCGATGTGGTTTTTGTTATTTGGTCTAGTTCTTTGTTTGTGATTCCGTAGCACCACACCATGAGGTTCGAACAAATATGGTCCTCGATAAGACCTACATCCTTCTTTCAATCTAAACCACTTTTAACCATTGATTTAAGAAAGCAGTGTGCGTTATACGATGCGAAATAAGATTGTTTTTTATTTATTTTTATTTCTGAATGAGAAGTAATTAGTGTCACCAAAATGCGTTCCGTCAAACTTGGATTTGGAACTGTCACCAGATTATTTTTTTTATTGTTATTGCTATTGAGGTGCGCGTTATACGACGATAAATATTATTAAGTCTATTTTTTATTATTTCTGAAAGAGAAGCAATTAGTGGCACCAAAATGCGTTCCCTGTCAAATCTGGATTTAGAAACGTCTTCAGATTATATATTTTTAATATTATTGTTATTGTTATTAAGGTGCGCGTTATACGACTATAAATATTATTATATATATTTATTATTATTTCTGAATGAGAAGCAATTAGTGACACCAAAATGTGTTCCCTGTCAAATTTGGATATGGAAACGTCCTCTGATTCTTTCATCTGCCTTTCTTTTCTTGAAGCAATGCATTTTTTTCTGCCGTGAGATATCAATACTATACAGACATGATCCAAATATCTCTATTCATAAAAATTATATCTATCGTCAACGGAGTAGTCATTGCCAATCCACTGCTTTGAAAAGGCTTCTCCTAGGTCCTTTCGTGACATCCCTGACTTTCCTAGTCCTTGCAATCTGTTATCAACAACACTATCTCTCGAATTATTCTGCTTTCCTGTTTTTTCCTACTACGTTTGCTATCGATTTCGCA